GTTCCTGCAGCGCTGACATCAGCCCTCGCACTCTCTCTCTCGCCGGTTTCAATCTGTCAACTGAGGGGCGTTGCGTCGGCCCGAATGTTCATCTGTTCTTTTCTGCGGGAGATGAAAGCAAAGGAGCGGAGGGAGGTTCTCTCCTCAGCTTCGTTCAGCTCCAACGATGAGCTGAACTCTCGTCTCCGTTGACCTGAAGACAAAACGAGTGGCCCCTCCACAGTCCGGTCCCGAAGACTCACAGTTCTGTCCTACAGAGGGCAACAGGAGAGAGTTCAGAGCCGAGTCCGGAGGTCCAAAGCCCCGGCTTTCCTCGCGCTTTCGGTCGGTGCGACCGGATCTGTGCGGCGTTTGTTCCCAGCGGCAGCGGGAGAGATTAGCATGTTATTAGCACTCAGAGCCCCAGGAGTTTAACATATTTCTTGTTAAATAAAGAGCTCTTTGATTCATTGGCCCCCCCCTCAATCGCCACTTTGCCACAACCACTCGGCTGCTCTGGGCTCTTCACTCGGTGTCTGTTTAGAACAAGCGGCACTTAGAGAAGCGCGAAGGGGACGCGGCCGCGCACGCCATGTTTCAAACAGCGGGGAGGAAAGTGGCCTATGAAGGCCCCCCCCCCCCACCTCTTAATCCTCTTAAGCTCTGCCCGAACCAGGCACCACCAGGGGCTATTTACCCCGCCCTGCACGTACCCCCACGAAGACGCACACACGCCGGCACAAGGACCGGCCAGGCGACGGCGCGAGAGGCGCAAGAACGGGGGCGAAGCGTCGCACATAAAAAACCCAAATGAACCAGTAGGACTCCGATTCGGTGGTTCAGGATAGTAGTTACTGGGGGTAACACCGGTTAGGTGGGCGTGTACAGCCCCCACACCCCTTTCACAAAGGTTTAATTCAAAAGCAAAATACAAAAATCTGCCGAAGAGTCTGCAACACTGACGGCTTCAGGCCAACAAGCATGGCTGTTGATGTCACCGGAAATGGATTTCTGAGATGCGTTCGGCTCCACGCGCATCAGAACAGACAGCCGCGGCGGTCAATCGACACCCCGAGTGACCCGATTGGAGCGTAATGGAGTTCAGCTTTGATCCTGCGGGACTCTGAGCTCGGGGTCAGGTCTCTGTTAGGAGACCCATGAAGATCTATTTCTACAGAACTACCTGCTCCCTCTGGCTCTGACCCGCGCCGCGTGGAAGCGGAGTTTCAGCGCCGTCATCTCAGAGCTACGCGTCCATGAAGGGAACGACAGCAGAGCGTGTCTGTGGCCGTGCGATGTTTCGCCCGCCGGCCTCATTGGTTAACGAGACTGAGGTTGACGCTAAAAACTACGCGTTAGGGAGTCAATCAAGACCCCCGCGCGCCCCCCGTCACCTCCACGATGCCGTTCCTGCCCGTCAGGGAGAGTCACAGTAATACGTTTGAACACGAAGGCGCAGCCTGAAGTTGTACAGGATGGACACACACACACACACACACACACACACACACACACACAGACACACACACAGACACAGGCCCCCCCCCCCCTGGAGAACATTTTGGGGGACATTTTTCCGAGGGACCCTTCAACCAGAGAGTGCGAGAGGTCCCGGACGGTATTTATGGTCCCGGGAGGCTTCGTGGCTGGCTGACAGTTAACATGGAGGGGCCCCCGGTCCCCTGGTCTCTCTCGCTCCAATGGGTGGGGGTGGGGGGGGGGGGGGGGGGCGGTGTCGTCATCGGCACCTATCCACGACGGGGTGCACACCCGAGTCCTCCCATTCTGCAGCCACGGGGCCTGGAGGGGGAAACCCGAGACTCCTTCAGAAAGGAGGTCAGCGGCCGTCGGAGGAGGAAGGAGGACCTTCAGTGGTGCAGTAGGAGGCGTCATCGCATCACTAACTTGTGACAACGCCGTCTAGTTCTTAGTCAGAAAAACGGTCGAACACGCTTTTTATTTTATTCTTCTTCTCCCAATCGCTCCGTCAAAGCAAAACAGTTTCTCATCCACTTATCTGGAGCACACGTGCACATTGTGATTATCTGTAATATAATGAGGATCAAACGCGTTCCCCCTCATCCTCTTATCTCTCTCCTCGTGTGCGTGACTCCACCTCCCTCTTCCTCTCCTGCTCCTTCGCGCCGTACACGGCGCCGATGGTTGAAATGAAAGGAGTCCCGGGCTGAGGAAAGCCCGCGAGTTCGGAGTGCGAAGCTCCGTCCACTTGCTGCTCACCTTAATCCCAAAAAGAGAAGAGGATGGAGCGAGGTGAGAGGAGGGCGCGTCGCGTCCTGCTGTCGAACCCGCTACCTAACTGAGCATTTATGGTGGGAGGATCGGTATGTGTCGGCAACACGCCCCTCCACACACACACACACACACACACACACACACACCCGGAGTCATCTGCGCTCGCCGGAGGCTTTTATGGGCCGTCGCGTTGCCGGCTCTCCGTTCCTGGAAGAGCGTTGGTATCTTTGGATCCAATTGCCCCCCCCCTCCCTCCCCCGCTCCCCAGTGTCCGCCTCCCCATGAATTGTGGGCTAATTGAGCCGTATGGGTTCGTGCGCCTTTGTGTGTGTTTGTGTGTGTGTGAGTGTGTGAGTGTGTCCGGGCGGGGGGGGGGGGTGGAGGCCTTTCCATTCGTGATTGATTGTTGTCATCTTGGTGGATTATTGAGTTAGCAGTGAACGTGATAGGCTTACTACAGCATCTCAGAGGACGCACACACACACACACACAGTGCTCACGCTCCTACACTTTGTTAATCCGATGCCTGGTGGAAGGGGGTCCGTGGCTGTGTGTGTGTGTAATGAACCCATCACGGGGTCTACGCAAGGAAAGAGAAAGATGTTTTGTAGCTGCATTAATACTCCACATATTTGTTTTCTAGGTTTGGTAAAGAAAAGTTGCTCCTGACGCTGTGCATGAGTGTGTGTTGTGTGCGTGTGCAACACAGCCGGGCCTGCGGTAGAACAAACTTAACATCTGTGCATTATTTATGCCTCGGTTTTGCTATTTTGAGGGTTGATGTAGCCGCTACTACGTTAGCGTAGCCTAGCAACGATCGATCTGAACTCACCGGAGGAGAAAACCTTTTCAAAAGTTGTTTGCAGGTCGTCTCGCGGACCGAACTGGCAAAGCACCAAATTCGGGTTCATCACAAATCAGCAATCACACATTTGGACATTTTCTTTATCTGTTTATTGCGCTTAAAATCGCAGCACAACATTCCTATTTTTTAGCTCGACTGCTGGAACTTTGGCGTCGTCTTTTAGCCCCACACACTCCTACACTGGGCCCAAAGCCACACCGATAAACCCAAATGAACCTCAACTGAGGGTCTGAAACGACGTTCACAACACGAATTAGCGTTTTAATTATTGCAATAAAAATCACTGAACGAAGGAACGTGCGCCCAGATAACAGCCAGAGGCCACACGCGTCCACGCGTCCTCCCACTGGAGCAAAGAGCTGTTTAACAGATTTCATAGAGCCTTTTGAAATATCTCTTCTTCTTCTTCTTCTTCTCGCCAGGATTACCAGGAGGACATTGTGAGATCTAGAGATGAGAAGATAAACTACACACCGTCTTCCTTCTCGTATCCTGTGGCGGGAGACGACATTTAGCAGAGCGCGACTTGACAAATAGGAGGCTGGAAGCGTCTTTTTCTTTTGGATAGAAAAAGCTTAATTGAGCTGCGGTAGCTTCATGCCTCATTGATATCATCGATCGCGGCTACAATCGTCTCACGCAGGCTGTTGTTCTGCGTTAAGACACTTGGTTCTTTTAAACATTCCGCCTTACCTTCTCCATGAAATACCGAGTTAGTTATTCCTGATGTTTGAAAAACTCTTAGTTCCAGGAATGTTGTCAAATTTAAAAAGAGAGCAGAAGGAGTCATTTTTCCCCTTATTGAGCTCTCATCACTGACCGTGACCCCCAGCTGACCAGAAGAGGGATGACTTTTCGGGCTTCATCCGTCCCCTTCAGGCAGATGTCACTAGGGGGAGGGGGGGGGGGGGGGGGCTTAGCATGTGGCCAACACAGCGTTGGCATGTTCTCTGCATGTTCCCTCATTTCGCCCATTCACGCTGTTTTCTTTTGCCATTTAATATTCTCTCCTCATGCATCTGAATTTAGATTTGTCTTCTTTCATTCTTAACTATCCCTCAGCATTTGATCACGCCCCCCACCCTCCCTTCCCTCCCCTCCCTCCCCCATTTCCTCTGCCTATCACAATGTCTCATCGGCTTCCTGGTAACATTTCCATTACATTAAGAGGAGCAGCCACCACTGCGTGGCGAGTGTATGTGTGTGTGTGTGTGTGTGTGTGTGTGTGTGTGTTTGCGTGAATGTGCCCGATGGTGCGTTCTTATCATTTTGGCAGAGGCGACATTCTCCCCTCCCTCATCCATCTTCAAGCGCTTGGCTGGAAATGACATGTCGACACACCACAAACACGGCTTTGCTCGAGACGCACAAACACACACACACACACACACACTGGGAATGGGATTGGATTGGAGATGCAACGACCCCACCCCCCCCCTCCAAAATGGCATGCTGATTGAGCCGATGCAAATGGGGACTTGCGGTCTTAAAGCTGCTAATTGCTTCGTTGTTTATTTGCTGCAGACAAAGAGCTCAGGTAGCGACGGGATCTCAGGTGGGTTTGTGTCAGAAGAATTATCTGAAGACGCAGGAGTGGAACTGGGAAACCCCGGGGGGGGTTTCTCCTTTCATTGTCAGGGGGGTGGGTAGGGGGTTTAAGTTAGCGCGCACACTGTTTGCGAGGCCTCGTTTCAGTGGGGGGCCGCTAAGCCTCGGGCAAAACGGCGAGCTCCTCTTCAGCTCATCGACCGATGAATCTGTCGTTGGGTATTTTTCTGCCGGAACTCTTCCCGCCTGTCAACAAACTCTTGAGGGGTGTGTGTGTGTGTGTGTGTGTGTGTGTGTGTGAGGTCAGTCAGCCCGGTGACCTCCGCGTGGTTTCTCCTCTCTCTCCTGCTTCCAGGTGCTGGCCTTGGAGAGGCAGGTCTTTGACTTCCTGGGTTACCAGTGGGCCCCGATCCTCGCCAACTTCTTCCACATCATCGCGGTCATCCTGGGCCTCTTCGGCACCATTCAGTACCGGCCGCGCTACATTGTGGCGGTGAGTGTTGCGTCACGTGACCCCCCCCCCCCGTCGTCCTCAGCTGTGGTCTGAATGGACGTGTCGTCCTTCTTCTTTTATTGCAAACGAGAGCTGTGGTCTCCTGTGGCTTTTGCACACCCTTAAATCACTCAAATCCTGTGGTAATCAGGGCTAATTAAAAAGTGGGGGTGGGGACCAAGGAGCTCACTGGATTAATAGTCCGCGTTGAGCTTCTGGACAGAGAAGGTCGTTCTTTGAAACACTGAAGCTGAGCGGTGACCAGCAGCAGCGTTAGCGGGAGCAGACAAAGGAGCGGCGTACGAGATACCGGGGCAAAGAGGGTAAACAGAGTAGGATTAAACCCGGAAGAGGCAAAGAAAGCCTGCGAGCTTCAAGGGCTTTCATGATCCGACACGTGCGCTTTTTATCAAAGGCGCTGCTCTTCCTCTCGGCCCCCCCCCCCCCCCGACGTTTTCAAAAACACACGATTCAATCGTGAGTCAGAGGATTTCACAACGCCGGCTGTCTGACGGTACCATTCAGCCCGAGCTGTTAAAAAGATGTCACGCTCCCTCCGGGGCGCCAATAAACCTGCTGAACTCCAAAAATGAAACCAAATATAACTGCGCGCGTGTGTCCGTGAGCAGAGGACACTGTCCACGGGCTCATCCGTTCAGCCTGCATTTGTATTCAGCAGCTGTTCATCTAGCGTCCGTGGAGCTAATCTGTCTGGGTCTGTTTGCCCCCCCCCCTCCTTTACCCCAGTACACGGTATGGGCCGCTCTGTGGGTCGCCTGGAACGTCTTCATCATCTGCTTCTACCTGGACGTGGGAGGCCTGTCCAAGGTAAGGATGAAGCTCGGCCGGCTCCTTCGTGTCACCCAGAGCCCCGAGGTAGAACCTCCCAGGTGTCCAGAGGGGAAGATATCTACCGCAACAATATAAAACCGTGAGAACAAATGTATCCTGTATCCTCCTGTTCAACCGGCTCACGCTCGGCGATTGGCCAAACGAGCGCCACCAAAAGCCAAGTTTTCCCCCCACATGCTATTTTCATTTTGAAACGACGAACAAATCCTGACATCAACTTACATATATATATATATATAAATATATATATATCCAATATCACAAAGCATAGAAGCCACAAGGATGAATCTGACTATAAATCCCTTCCCAACCTTTAGGATTCTGCACCACACACACACACACACACACACACACACAGCTGCCAGACAGATATGTATATTTGGGTTTTTGTTTGCGTGATACCTCTCTGGTGACCGTCTGTTGAGTTTCAAGTGGAAGCTTATTCGCTAAATAACCTGGAGAGAATAAATCCCCCCCCCCCCACACGGGGGGGCTCCTCTCACGCCCCCCCTCCTCCTGACATCTTGTCTGCTCACGTTTATTTTTATTTTCCTTCACTCTGTTCACTCCTCCTCTCATCTTTTTTTCTAAATTATTCTGCATATTTAGCAGGTCTTGCCTTTTCCCCTCAGCGCCCCCACCCCCCCCCCACCCCGCCCGCCCCCCCTTTCTGGCCTTTGATTAGAATCATGTGACCAGCAGGAAATCATGGAGGCGACGTTCATCTCACACCCGTCCCAACGTCCAAAACGAGTTTCAGAAACACCTTTCCCCCCCGAGCTCCGGAGTCCCTGTCATTGTTTGATAGACCACAGCGCCGCCAAGTGTGTCCGTCTCTCGGCCCGTGTGTGTGTGTGTGTGTGCGTGTGCGTGTTTGTTGCGTGTTAATAATAAGGCTTGTAGGGGCCAGCTGCTTGGGGCCGAGGCTCCGGCTTTAACCCGACAGATGGAGCCAGCCTGGGCTTCCAGCTCTGCATATGGTGGCCAGGAGGAGAGCCGGGCTAATGGAGCGCAGGCACACACACACACACACACACACACACACACGCACACACACAGGCAGACACACACCCCATTCAACGCATGCACAACTGAACTTGGCACGCAGCTTCCTGAGAGGTCCCCAACATATTTGATCATAAAACCAAGTCTGCTAAATGTGCTCTGCTAGCCCTGACCGATGTTTACTGGGCTGTTCTGGAGTGTGTGTGTGTCTGTGTGTGTGTGTGTGTGTGTGTGTGTGTGCGCTGGGTCCCTGGAAGTGAGGGGGCAGGCTGTCAGAGTCACATGCCACATGCTCTGTCACCTCCTCTTGATCCGTTGGGACCCCCCCCCCCCCCACCCCCCGCGGTGTGCGACAGACAGGCGGACCCCCGCCGCTCTGCACACACCGCTGCTTCAAAGAGAATGTAACTCATAGACATCAGCATGAAACTTCACACAATAAGACGTTTAAATAAGAATATTACATTTGTTTAAATATGCAAAGAGGCAAAAATGTCCTCAGCTGTATATATTTATAAAACAGAACTCATTGGATCGTCATTTTGTTAATTTGGGACGTCTCCATAAATCAAGAATACTGTTTGAATATGAAAATGTTGCGTTATTTAATGTTCATTGTTGGTGAATTCATGTCTACAGGCACAAATAGACAAAGCGGTAAAATAAGCATCGGATGTGTATTTTAGAGGTTTTCTTTCCACTACTCTGAGAGACGACGTGTTATGGAAGCAAAATAGACCAAAAACTGAATTGATCCACAAACCTGTCAGGCAGAAATAGCTCTTTTCATGTGCAGTTATTGGATGGCTCTGTTGATCTTGTCTGTCAGTCCATCAACCACTTTGGTCCAAATGGAAGCAATTTCAAAGACTATTGGATGGATTCTGCAGATCAGTCATCTCATAACTTCTCTCGCCTATAATTGTTTAAAGCTAAAACGCGATTGGGTTAAGACATTCCAACAAAAATTGCTCCCCAACTCCGATCCAGAGTGAGTAGATCTCCACCTCGAATGGATCGCTTGTGTATACCAACATTGCTTCTTCCTCTCTGGTAGCTCATGTGCATATCAACATCATGTTAGTTGTTAGTAATTGTTAGATAGTAATGTTGTTGAATCAGCTTTTTTCACCCGTCCCTGATTCATGGCTGAGACTCTTAATGAGACGTAGTTACTCTGAAGTCAACTACGACTATGAACTATGCCATGAATCAACCAGGGACAACGCACAGACTGGACGACACCATGGCAGGAATCTGTCAATCGGCGTGTGGCCCCGCCCGAGGGCATACGCCGCTTTATGGTCTGTTTGACTCTAGATGGACCATTATTTACTAAATAAGCATCCTGCTGTGTTGAAGAAGCCTTGAGAATAGAGATTGAGACCACAAAACGCATGTTTACAATGTTTACAGAGGGAATAAATCAAGAGAGAAGTCATTTTTTCATAGACTTCTATAGGAGCAGAGGAGTTGCCCCCTGGTGGCCATTCGAGAGAATGCAGATTTAAGTCCCTTGCATGATTTTATAGATTTGTCACTTTTTATAAAATACAAATAAGTGAAGTTGAACTCAAACTCTCGAGCTCCTGAGTCACTGTGCGGTCACATTTTTACAAAGTACAAGTCGATATGAGACAGTACCAGAAGCGTCTACGTCCTACCTCCTCGTGCTCACACAGCCATAAAGTCTCTCTGTATTTTAGAAACAAATCATGGGAAATAATGTTCTAATTGTTTGATGTTGAGCTTAATAGAAAGCCCCGTGTCTCCGGTGAGTGCCACGCCAGCATTGAATTTAGTTAAAGAAAATACTTTGAGCAGTATCAGTAGACTAACCTTGAATCTATGATATGGAGCGATTGATTTGTGCTTTTGTGTGCAACGGAGCATAACAATGACGCTCTTGAGAGAAAGTTGCCAAAAGCCTGAGTATCGACTTCTGACGCGCTGCTCGCAGGCTCAATCAATGGCATCTGTCAAGTCATTAGTCCTCCCGACCCTTTCCCGTTGACCTTCAGACGCCCTTGTTTTCCTCTCTCTGTGAGCGAGCGGCGCAGGAGGAAAACGCAGACGGAGGGTTGGTGGCGAGGAGTCGACATGAAGAAACGGAGGGAGGATGGCCGTGATGGCCGCGATAGTAACAAGGAGTGGGTGTTGATGTGAATTGGAGATGTCTCCTGACACCGTTAATAATGCATAATCTTGTCACCGAGGGGCAGATGGGGGGGGTCAGATCGCTGTATTGGGGTATTGATTGGTGCGAGGGTCTGTTTGCGTGGGCTTGTGTGGCTGTGTCCAAATTGAACATCGGCAGGATGCGCATTCGCTGTTTTCAGATGCTGCGTCTTAAAGCAGTGCCGTTGAGGAGGTACAGTTATGGAGTCTGTTGGCTCGGCCTATCGGGTTCACATACTCGACGTGTGTCTTGTGGACATTCATGTAAAACCAGGTGAAAACATTCAATTCTGGGAGGTGAAGCCACTGCAGAAGAAGTGTCTTAAAGCTGCATTCTCTGTAGCGACCAGCAGGGGGCGACCCCTCTGGTCCCATAGACGTCTATTAGAAAATCACTCTACTTCTCTCTTGATTTATTCCCTCAGTAAACATTGTAAGCATGAGTTTATGGTCTCAATCTCTAGTTTCAAGTCCGCTTCACTACAGCATGATGTTCATTTAGTGAATGATGGTCCATGTAGAGTCAAACTGGATGCTGGCTACCACGTGATTGACTGGATGTGATTGATCTGTAACTCACACAACACAAATGTTGTCACTTCCTCTTCCGAACTTGAGGCTTTTGTTACGCACCGACGACTACGTCCCCTCCTTTTGAATAGAATTGGGTAGAACTATTAAAAGGTTAGTTCAGAAAATCTATTACATACGGTGTAATCGCTGCATCGGTGTCTTGCCATATAGATATTTTTAGTATTTTTGCCCTCGTTTTCAGTCAAGGAGAGTTCTGCCTCCACCACAACACATTCCAGGAGAAACAAGTGAAAGCGTCTCTCCTGAAACAATGTTGCTCAGGATGAACCACAAAACAGTTCTCAGCAAGTAGTCACAAAGAAAACGTCTGTTGATTCCTTGAAGGAAACGAAACGGGATGTAACTTTTTTTAGAAAATAATGGTATCCGATATCAGCTATTTGAGAAAGTGACAAAACTTTGAACCAAGTTTACGAGCTAATCAGGAACCAAGAAGAAGCTACAAAGGGAATTGTTGTAAGTTAGAATTAGAGGGGCAGTTTAATCCTCATGACAGATAAGTGCGTGGACATCATGAGTCCAAGTGAAGACGCCTTTTTTCTTTTTTCCTCCTTTCAGGACAGCGACCTGCTGACATTCAACATCTCCGCCCATCACTCTTGGTGGAGCGAGCACGGGCCGGGCTGCGTGCGGGGGGAGATGCCTCAGGCGGCGGGGGGCCGCACCACGGAGAGCCACTCCTACATCACGGTCATGGGCTGCTTCATGGACTACCAGTACATCGAGGTCCTGCACAGCGCCGCGCAGATCCTCGTGGCTGTGAGTGCAAACTCTTACTCGCTGGGGGGGGCGGGGGGCCGGGGGGGTGCTGGTCGTGAACGGTGGCGGAAAAGGAAGGAGGTTTTTTCACTTTCCTGAGCCCTTTTCCAGGGCGGCCTGCCGATATCAGACCCCCCCACCTTCCTCTGAATGAAAGATTGATCGGTTGTTTTGTCTGGCGGGGGCTCAGACCTGCCAGCTGCTACTCAAACACTGGAAGGACTGTTATTGTCGTCTGCGTGCGCACATCCTGCCAGCTCGCGCGTTAGCACACATGAAGGACTAAAGCCCGCGCTGGACGGGGGCCAGGGCGGGGTTTCTTTTTGTTTGCCGGCGCAGCGGGCGCTTTGGGTTCAGACACGCACTTTACTCACTGACGTGCTCTTTGCAATGAACATCAATGCAACCGGAGCTGTTTTTCTCTCAAATTCCACCTTTAATCCGGGGCAATAAAGAGCGCTTTAAGACAACCTTGTCTGGAAGTGAGGAACTGCACTAGCTGTTAGCATTGGAAACCGGATCAGGTGACTTCATGGACACAAGCACCATTTGTGTCTGAGGATGGTCCTTTTTTAAGATGCTTTAAAAAACAAGAGCTCCTAAAAAAAGAGGCAATACTTTGCAGCTAAATCAACCTTTGGTTCCTAATAATGAATATTATTGCCATGGTGACGAGCCCTCAGCATCACGGTTGTCTTGTGGCGGTTTCCTGGCTTGGTGCCATTTAAAAAAGAGGAAAACGTAGGCGTGTGGATGCTGCCTCGGCGTCCTGATGGTTTTCCTTCTCGCCCTCTGATCCTGAGTCTTAATTCCCGCGCGGGAGACGCAGCGAAGGCGCTTAACGCCGCGGCACATTAGAGCGCCATCAGAGGGGAGAAGCGCCGCGCCGCACCCCTCATTCCGCCCCCCCACCGCGGAGAAACGGTAATAAAACAGCTGCCCTCGCATTACGGCCTCTCATTAGAGCCCCCCCCCCCCAGCACTACAGGCAGGGAATGGGTTTATTCCTCAGATGGACTTTCAGTCCTTCACAATCTGCCAATCTTCATGTTATTGTCCGACCGAGCACGCAACGGCATCTCCGTGGGAAAATTGGGCCTGAAATGTGAGAACCACGGAGGGCATCGTTTTCCTCGCACCTTCACTTCCTGCCCGGCTAAAAGCGGGAAAACAGATTCCGTTGGGACGTCCCAGGAATCGAAGCAATGGAAGAAAAGGATGGGGAGAAAGTAAGGGGTCTTTTGTCTGTTCCAGGTAGTTTTTTCAAGGTTCGAGGCCATTAAATATTTAGTTCGTACCCCAGAGAGCCGGTTTCATTAGGGTGAGAAATGTGGATCCACCGGCCGGTAATGGAGGCGTCGCTCTCCGTCATCTCCCCGCTCAGATTGATCGGGAGCTCAGAAGGAGACTTTTGTTGCCACGGGCGGCATCCAGGCAGAGAGGAACTCTGAGGTTTTAAAGGATGTGCATTATTCATTCTTCGGCAGCGCGTTTCGCTCCGTCTCCCCTTTGTCGCGTTCTTTGTTCTCCACGAGAGCCGTCCGTCCCGCTCCTTGTCGTCCAGCAGCCGCTTCCTGTCCGACTCCATGCAAGAAATGTAAAGTAAGGTTTGATTGAAAATATGATCCAAATTGTTACAATTTCATACAAACGTCTTATAGGACGCAGGTTTAAAACCACTAATATTCAGTAATGACTGATTTCCCTGTCAATCAACACACACATCCCTCTGTCCTCCCATGATCCTCTCTGCTTCTCGCTCCTGCGAGACGCCGTCGCTGTCAATCAAAACCGCCGAGTGTGACAAAACTCCTCCGCTGAGACGAGAGAGAGAGAGAGAAGACCAAACAATGTGCCAGGTGTGACGCTCCGCTCACATCTGTGTAGACGTGCCGTGAGACACGTGGAGGACTCGTTGGAGCTTCCCGTGGAACGCATTTCAGCGTGGGTTCCTGCTCTCCTCCGTTCCTGGGGAACCCGCGTTTTGGACGCCTCTGACCGGGAGAAACGGCACCCGGGCGTCGCTCTCTCGCTCCGTTGCTCGGTTCCTCTTTTTCCCGCCTACTTTCCCTGAGCAGATTCCCCCCCCCCCCCGTTCAACCCTCATGTCAATCAAACCCGCCCCGCCTCCTCCACCTCCATGCGCTCCTCACTCGCTCTCAGCTTGTTTAACCCAGGGGAGTGTGTGTGTGGGGGGGGGGGGGGGACAACATGGCCTCCCCCTCACTCTTCCAGAGGTCAGGGTGCTCGCTTTGATGAGTCCATTAGTCCGACTGTTGTTTGTGTGTGTGTGTGTGTGTGTACTGAGGGATCTTTTGATGTGAATTCCATTTGGACCGCAGTGATTGGTCCTGGCATCACAAAAAAAAAGAAAATGTCGGTGGGTGCGTTGTAATAACAGCGTTAATGAGGCGCCGCAGCATCGCGTCGTATCTCCTCCACAGCTTCAAAGCTTTGTGAAGATGGAGGGATTAAAATATGTGATGATGTCAAAAGCAACAGAGAGGAGACGGAGGAGCCTGGAGGAGAGGATTTATGTATAGTGTGATTATATATATATATATATATACACATTTGGATACACGTCTACTCGCAGTTCACTGGCAAAACTCCCCCGCCTGCCGTTGGCCGTCTCCACCGAGAGCTTTTCTTTATTTTTCAGAGACAAGGATTTTGCTCAGATTCATTTTACTCCAATATTTGGTCTTTTTTTTAACTTCTCAGACAGGAGAGAAGAAAATAAAATGTGAACAAAAGAGACCTTCAAGGTGGAAAAACAAGCTAAATTAAAGAGGCAAACCTTCTCCGGCGGCGCGTTAGCTCTTTGAGTCGTTACTTGTTTCACTCTTATGATTCTTATTTCCGTCCAATCGACTTTCCAATTCGACCTCTTTTCTGGACTTTTCATTTAGCGAAAGCTGATTCTGTTTCTGTCATTGGAACCACGTCTGCCGCGATTCAAGAGCGTCCAAGGTTAAAATGAAACACCCGACAGCGGTCGGCAGGAATCGTCACCATGGCGACGCTTGACATCTCGGCACAAACGCGCCATTTTTTAATAAAGCCGAGCTATTTACGTCTATTTGTTCATTCCCTCGAACCGACTTCTCTCTCTCTTTTTGCAAAAAAAACGTCCCGCTGTCGACTGAATGCAGATGTAATGAAAGGACCCATCAGCTGGTGGTCCCGCCTCCGGCGAGCCGGTGAGGAGAGAAAACCGGCAAGACCGCCGGGTCGAGCCGGACCGTCTCCAGGAAGTCAGAACCCGAAGAGAGCGAGAGAGTTTCGAAGATAATCAGCGAGCTGTTATCACATGTGGGCGAGAGACAGCCATCGACCCCCTGTGGTCCTGGAAGCTGCACACATCTATGGGCGGGGGGGGGTGTAGATGAGAACAGGTGGATGTGGTCTCTCATCATGTCATTAAACACGCAGCTGCTCAAACACACACACACACACACAAGTCTTGTGTAATTAACCTCCTCCCTCTCTCCCTCCCTCTCTCCCTCTCTCTCTCACCCATCTGATGTAGTTTACCTACAAATTCCTTTCATCCTCTTGAACCCAGTGAGATTTCTCCTGACGTTGAGCCACAATCAATAGTGTGTTAATTAGCTTGTAGATCGACTGAGACATCCGTCACTGCACACACACACACACACACACACACACACACACACATCTACGCTAAATTCATAAAAGACAGATATTTAGCTGCAACCAACACATTATCGGTTCACCGTGATTATTTTTCTTCTCTAACACAGGAAAGAAAAATCCGCTTCGGCTCAACTTCCCGCCGCGTGTTTTTATGTTCTTCATCAATGCCGATTCTTCTCCAGTAACACTGAACGCGGAGGCTGAAGAGCCGGTGGGCCGGTGGGCCGGTGTCCCGGATCGAAGAGCCTCACAGGCTGCAAAGCTGACTGGTGTTTGTGTGTCTGCGTTGTGTCAGGTGATCACGCGTCTTTTAGTACACACCTGACCTCCATTAGCTTATGCAAATACTAGTAACCTTTCGCCCTCTAGCTCGACAGGTGGGCTTTTTCACACACACACACACACACACACACACACACACACACACACACACACCTCATTACCGGGGAGGGGAAACAAAGATACTGCTGAACGATCACAAAAAGGCCTCCTTCAGTTTCCTCGTAGTTGGTAAATGGCGAACGAAGCCGGCGTTGCCTTTGATGATTTCTCACATCTCGAGCTGAACCTTTCGCGCCCCGCTTTGCTTTCATCCCTCAGACTCTTACTCTCTGCTCAGCAACCCCCCCCCCCCGTCCCCAAAAAAAAGGCACAGAGATAGAAAGGTGGGAATTTGCAGACTGGGGCTTGCCAGCCATGTTTGAACGGTGAACTGAGAAGAAAAGGTGCCGAGTGCAAAGGGAGGGGGGGAAAAAAAAGGGCCTCCAAATGATTGACAGCTCAATGAGTTGGCTTCAGTCCAGCACGTCCTCACAGGCAGACTGACATCAGGCCTCAGAGGACGCGCACGGGCTTTATGAGCTTAATTAACATGACATCAATCTCCAAAATGATCCCTGAACTCCAGCGGTGACAGTAGGAAGTAAAAGAGCTGTGAGTGTGTGTGTGTGTGTGTGTGTGTGTGTGCGTGTGCGTGCGTGATCATTTAATATGCGAGGATATTTAAGTGGAGTTGTCACTTGTTATTGAGGACACTGACCCATATTGGGTGAGGACAGCGAAGCCTGCGGCTGGAAGCCGCCAAGTGTTCCCTCCTGATCCCATCAGCGCCGCGTGCATCTCGCTAAACGCACCGCGCAGAAGAGCGGACGCGGTTACAGTCCGTCGCCGCGCTCTCCTGCAGCCCAGCCGCCAGAGACGATGTGATTTACGACATTCCTCGACATTGTTTCCGTGTGAAACGGCCTTCGTTTTGTTTCTTTCGTCCTCGTCTATGTGGTTTCAGCCGCTGCGTTGGATCGTCACACCGCGAGGAAGTGAGAGCTTAAGTCTTTCTTCACCCCCCCCGCCTCCCCCCTTTCTCCCTCTATTCATAAACAAAGACGGGTTTCGATTTCACTGTGCGGGAAACAAACGTTGGGCGTGTGGGAGTTTTGGGCCCAACGTGTAGCGGCGTTCACCACCTGCTGCATTGTGTGGCTGAATGAAAGCCGCCCCGTCTAGACGCGAAACACACACCTGGTACGTCGCTAGTTCCGTTAGCTGCTAGCAGTTAGCCAAACACAGGCCGTACAAAACGCACAAAAGCGCTCGGAGGGGGGGGGGGCTTGGGTCAGAAGGTCTCACTCGGTACCTTTAAGACATCGCACACTGATACCCAGCACAAAAAAAAACCAAACCCCCCGGCCCCCGGCCCCACCGGCCCCCCTCAGGTCGGCCTCACTAAACCAGGCAGTGATCAGCCGCCACATTAGCTCGGTACCAACGCACAGGAAAAACACACAGCTGGAAACAATGCGGCTGAAAACAGGGTGTGTCCCCCCCCCCCCCCCCCCCCACACACACACACACACCCGACAGCCCCCCTGCTGTTAACACCATCTACATGGACGCCAGATTTTATACGCATGCTAATTCCCGTCCATTTCACCGCCGCCGTAATGGACGGGCCGGCAATTACACACCAGAGAGAGGGAGCGGGAGGGAGGGGGCACCGCCGTCTCCCCGCCGACCAAACCCGACTTCAACAAAGAGCGCCGTGCTTGCGTGGAGGTGAGCGACCTGCCGCCGGCACGCGTCGTTTTTTGTTCTGCTAAAATAACGCGGCCGGTCAGATGGATGTTATTAAATAGCCCCCCGCCCCCTCGGGGCCCCCTTCAGGGGGCTTTGTGTTCCTCGGCGTGCGAGGGGCAGCGTGCACGGCGCCGCTTTTTTAATTGGCATGGCGACGTGCCAAATGATGTTGGAGAGAGAGAGAGAGAGCGCCTCTGCCTCTCACTGGCTCTGTTTGCGAGTGGATGGCGGCCATCTGCCGGTCCCACGGGCGCCGCTCGCCGCCGCTTACCCACTCGTGTGCGTCGACGTACGGCGACTCTGACAATGTCGCATCGTCTTCCGGAACACGAGGTCTTAAAAACCCAACAATGCAACAACACCCATGCGCACTTCGCGTTGTTGCAACAAACGGATCTCGCCAGCTTCCCAAAGTCGCTCGAACGCCACGTCTGCGTCGACAAAAAGGGAGCCGCTTGTTTCGTGATGTTCTGCGTCCTCCTTCTTCTCTCTTCTAACTCCTCTCCTGCGTGTGTCCACAGCTCCTGGGCTTCGTGTACGGCTGCTACGTTGTCAGCGCCATCACCGAGGAGGAGGACAGCTGTGAGTCGCTTGACACACACACACACACACACACACACACATACAGATGTGCATTAACTCACACAGATGTGGCCGAGAACTCGAGGAACTGAGGGGAACACGTCCACGTCTTCTGCAGCTCCGGTTCCTCTCGCTTACCAGACATCATGACGTGAGACATAGAAGACGTTACGTGATGGACGACCCGGCGCCCGTGACCTCGTAGGAGGCGGGGTCAGGGGTTCTAACCGGGTGGGGGTCGGCCAATCGGAGGGCAGGAAACATTTGATCTGAGTGTCCGTGGTATTAACCCTGAACCCAGATTCTACACACGTATTCATACTCACGGAGGAGGAGGAATCGGTTGCATCTTCTCCCAATTCATTTCATTTTTCCCAATTTGGCGATTGAAGCGTGTTTGCTCATCAAAAGAAACGTGATGTACAAATTCAACTTGAACAAAATCTGCCCCAAAACCTTCCATTCGTACGGCTCAGATGCTGGAAAGAAAGCAGCTCATGGCGGGAAAACCCCCGGCCTTCGTCACTTCCCTCCACGTTTTGGGTAAATCTCACGCGTTCGCCCTTTTCACCGCCTGTTCCATTTTTATCATCAAATTCCGTGAAGCGCTCCGTGTTTCCCACACGGGGGGCAAATCACAGGCTCCTGCATCCTGTAAACGCTTGTCGGAGGACTAATTCTGGAGGATCTGGAGCCGGGCTGTAATCACGCCGCACGCACTCCTTTCATCCCAGACCTGCAGACTCGTGTAATTTAGGGGGGGAATTCTAATGTGGCGACCGAGTGTGTGTGTGTGTGTGTGTGTGTTCCTGCAGAAGTCCCGGCATGTCTTTGGTGGTCACATACCGGAGACGCCCCCCCCAGCACCACTTAATCTAAGTAATCCCTCGAGGGCAACAACTCAACACGAGTCAAATCCACTAAAAAAAGACTTTTCCTTTTTGTTTATTTTGGGCTTTTGAGGTTCTGTTTCCTCCCCCCTTCTTCCTCTCGTCGTTCCGCTCCCTCGCTGGTGGGAATAATCGCCGCTTGTTGTGCTGAAGATCTCCGGCTCTAACGAGGTTAGAGGAAAGTTAGAGGTCCCCGGCCCCCCGTTTTATCAGCCTCGTTAAGCCCCTCGCCGGTCAATAAAAGTCCCGCGGCTGATTGCGCCTCGGCGAGGGGAAGAGAGGGAGGGAGGGAGGAATCCTCGGGAGGGATGAGAGAGACCGGAAGAGGGGAGGGGGAGGGGGGGGGGGGGGGGGGGTGTTGGTGTTAGATGGGGGGGGGTCGGTTAGAAAAAAGGAGCCGGGCCACGATGCCGAAACAAACAACAAGATGAACTCCTCTCACGGCGAGCACTCTCTCACTCTCGGGGGAGACGGGGGAGTTGGATTCAAGTGCTCAGGCTTGCATAGAGAATAAAGGGGGGGGGAGATAAAGGGGTGAGAAACACACACACACTCACTCCCAGATAGACACAGCACCTAGCATCACTCTAGGTGTGTGTGTGTGTGTGATCTCCCATCTCTGTATTTACACACGTGCTCTCTCCAATATAGTCATCTGTTACATGAATGTGTGTGTACTATAGATGGAGGGTGTGTGTGTGTGTGTGTGTGTGTTCAGCACTTATCGGTGTTGAGCAGACACACCGATGCGAGTCGAGGGGGGAAATCCTCTTTGCAAAGTAGGTCGTGGAGTCGGAGAAGCCGAGCGCCGGGATTAGCTCGCTTTGGCGCGTCTGCTACTCACGCCGCCGCCCCTCCGTGCCGAGTCACGTCCCCCCGGGACGTCCTGCGCGGGACGGAGGGCGCCGAGCGCGTCTCGCTTCTGTGTCCGCGTTCTGAGCGCCGAGACGCAGTCGGACGCGCTTCGGTGTCCCGTTCTGAATGTCCTCCTCCTCCTCGTTCTCCGTTATCACGCATGTCTCTTAACGTGTCGCCTCATCTCGCTGTCTTGTCTTTTGATTTCCTCCATAATTCACGTGTTTGATCCTTTTTGTTTTCAGTTGATTTTATTGGTGGATTTGAACCGTTCCCTCTCTACCATGTCAATGAGAAACCATCTCACCTCCTCCTGAGGCCCGTGTGCCCGTAAGTATGCGTGTGTCCGTGTCTCCACGTGTGTTTCATATGTTCATGTGAGCGACAGTGAATACAAGCGTCGCCTCTGTGACGTCTTATCAACGCAATCCTGACACACGGTTAAAGCAAATACAAATTGTGTTATATTATTAGTTGTGTTTCTTTTACTATTACCGTTACATTTAATCATTATTTTTGCTTCTGCTGCTGTTAAATTTATCATGTAAATGGTACAAACTGAGCATCTATTCCCGCTTCTGTCCTCGGATTCTTCTCCAGTTGCCCGTTGAAGGTTGTGAGATGTAAAACATTGGGCTAAATAGATTTTTTTTTTTTTTTTTTTTATTAATTAGATTTTTGCCGATATCACCCCAATATGTTTTCAATGCTGCGCTGGCTCGTTCCAGTATTTTTCCCAGAATGCAAGCTGTTTTAAAAAACGAAGGCGAACCAGAAGCGAGACGCTTGGTCCTTCGGCATCCGGAGCCTCGGGTCACGTCTGGGGCGTGAACGGCTCTCTGCAACGTGCTCCGTCCTGTCGGAGGGCCGTGTGGGGGGGGATAGAGGCCCCCCGTGACACAGTGTGTGTGTGTGTGTGTGTGTGTGTGTGTGTGTGTGTGTGTGTGACAGGAAGCACATGGAGAAGAACCTGTCAAATAGGATTTATCAATTAGTCGTGCAGAGAAGTTAAAAGCAATAATTCTGGTGGGGAGTCGTGTCGTAACTCTCTGCCAATATAAATAGAATATTATATTATCTTCTTCGCAGTTTAATCAGCTCCGACTCTAATGGGGGGGGGGAGGGTGGACGTTTGCCCTCCCCACCCCATCGGAGAAATCTCCGGGAGGAAATAGCACTGCTTTGGTCACTCCCCTCTCCCGATCTTCGTGAGAAAGGAGAGAGCGGCTGGAGAAGACTATTTCTCGAGAACAAAGACTGAGGTGTTTGGAAACAAAAAAAAAACGTCCCCCTCGGTTCAGTGGAGGGACACGCCAGCCCCCCTCGGTTCAGTGGAGGGACACGCCAGCCCCCCCCCCCCATCAGGGGGTAAGGCATACACGTTCTTTACACATTCACATTTGGGATTTGAGGACAGGACAGTATGATGAGGATGGACTCTTTCAAGTGAGGGTGCCTTGCTCAAGGGCAACCGTCATAATAATTGCTGAATAAAATCTTTTACTTTACCACTTGACAGACCGCGTCAATACAAGCGGCATACACTCGCGCATTAAAAGCAGCTTATAAAAGTTGGCGCAGATGAAGATGCTTTTGTTGCATAAACACCAGCCAGTCAGTCAGGTGCCTTCATTCAATGGACCAGTGGTCGAGCATCAGAACAACATGTTTCATGGAATGACAGTTATCACACTTCTTTTAAAGAACTTTGTGTATGAGGCCTCAGACAAACAGTTCCCCTGTTTTGCTCGAAATTACCTTCGAACTACTTTATCCAATGTACTAAATAATAGTTGCCATATTTAGTGTAGCACAGAATAGCCATACCGGAAGAAAATAATAGGCTGGCAATCCTTGAGTATGTTAATCCAACAGATGCATGGTTTCCTCCCGCCAATGTGTGCCTAATCGTA